CCCCAAAACCCCAAAACCCCAAAACCCCAAAACCCCAAAATCTTTAAAAATTTGCAACAAAAAATATAAAATGGAAGACCACAAACTTCTTGAGCGCAAAAAATTCCTCATGTCCAAAATCGATAAGAAGCCTGAGCGAGAACAATTCATGATCCACCTTCGCAAGAAGAAGAGACAGGAAATATTTAGTAAATAAGCGAAGGCTACTCAAAACCCAGCAAGAACAGGAGGATCAATGTACAGGTAAGATATGATCAAAGGAAAAATCTTAGTGGGTTTGGACTCTCTTGGTACCTCCCTTGCTCACCCCAAACATAGCAGAAACTCCGCTCCCAGAATCCATCCCTGACTACATAACTTCCTTATTCAGCGCCCTGCCTAGCCCAGCCTCTGCTTGCACCCAGAGGAGGTTCCTGGCCCACCTCTCAGCGGTAGCAGAGCAGCACGGGGAGGAGGTGTTCAGAGAGATTATTGACCAAGGCTTTGGGGAGGTCTTGGGTAGGTGCTTTGAGTGGGAGGTTGAAGGGGATCTGGTGGAGGGGTTGTGAATGGTTTGATGTGATATCACCTTCCTTCAAGACGAAGGCCTAATCCAAAAATTCCTCAATACAGAGCCTAATCTCATCGACTTCCTATTCAAAGTACTCAAAACAGAACCCCGCTCCGAAATCATAGATTCAGTTATAATCTCCCTCACTAATCTATGCATCACCGGTACATACACTGAAGAAATTGTGAACAGAGGTTACATCAGCCTGGTTGAGTAAGTGCAGATTTGGATATGTGTAGGGAGCAGCTGGACAGAGCAGAGGAAGTAGGAATGAAGTGGGTGAAGTAACATAGCTTGGAGTTTAGCAACGATCTCAAATCCATTCATAACTGAAGATAACAAAAGGATTCTGATAATTACTTGTCAGAGATTGTTTGCCTTTCAAGATCAGGAAACTACAAATGAATGCATGAAATGTCTTAGCCGGCTACTTGATGAAAGCCAGGCTTTCTTCTTAATCCACAAGTTTGATATGTTCCCTTATCTGTTCAATATGCTCAAGGGAGCAGAAGATAGATGTCTCATTCATCTTCTACTGGAGTTTTATGCACTCTTATTTTGTTATGAGGAAATAGACCTATGCATCATGGTCTTTACAAAAGAATTTCAGATAGCTTTAGAAGATATATTTCACGCTGAAGTGAGATATAAAAGTCAAACTTCTGAACAAGAACAAGATCTCAATTCATCATACTATATTGAAGGAGTAATACTTGACATTTTCCAAAATGCAGCTGCAAAAGTAGATCAAGCTGCATCAATGCTGCTTAACTCACCTCTGATGCAGATCCTGACTTTTGAGCAGTATGACGACTTAAACGTAGTAGGAGCTTCAATACAGCTATTTTGCAATGTATTTTCTAGGCTAGATTTCGATGACCCAAACTCAAAAGAGTTCATCACTGTAAAAACATGTTCTTTCAATTCATCAATGTCTAGTAGATTAATGACTAACTTTGAAAATTTGGTTGAGATACTAGAATCCCAGTATCTTCCCCCAGAGATAGTGTACACTTGCCTTAAGTGCTTGTACCAAATACTCAAGTTTTCCTCAGAGCATTCCATCCCTGACTATATGCAGTACTTTAAAGAAAGAGGAGGTGAAGAAATCCTTGAGAAATATACATCAGATACAAATTATAACAATGCTGAAATATGTAGCCTCATTCTTAGTGAGTATTTTGACCATGACTCCAACTTTTATGAGCCTCAAGAATTTCAGTAACGATCATGCTCAGGTTGATTAGAGTGCTTAATCTAAATATTAGAGTAAGATATCAATATTTGGAAACAATCTTGGGGTTTTGGGGTTTTGGGGTTTTGGGG